GCCGGCGCGGCGGCGGCGTCGCCGTCGTCCGGCGCGTCGGCCTCGTCGCCGCGCCGCCGGGGCCGGCCGCGGCCCGTGGGCTGCGTGGACGCCATCGCGCCCTTCGCGGTCTTCGCTTTCGCGGGCCCGCGGCCGAGGCCCTCGGCGACCTTCTTCGCCCGCGGCGCCGCGCGGGCCGCGGGCTGCGTCGAGATGGCGGCCTTGGGCGCGCGCGGCGGCCGCGGGCTCGGCGTTGGGTCGCGCTGGCGGCCTTGCGCGCGCCGCGCCGCCGCGCGGCCCGCGGCGCCCGCGGGCGCCGCGGGCTTCCCCTCGTCGAGGGACGACTCGCCGCTCTCGCGCGAGAAGGCGGACGTCAGGGACGCGAGGTCCGCGGCCTGGCCGAGCACGCCCTTGTAGGAGCCCGCCTCCTCCAAACTCGGCTCGTCGTCGTCGACGCGGTGGTGCGGCGCCGTGAGGTAATTCCACGGCCGCACGGGCGACGCGTCGCGGCCGTGGAGCTCCGCCTCGGAGAGCAGGCTCACGTTGTCCTCCTCGACGGCGGCGCCCGGCGCCATGAGGGGCGGCGGCCGCGGCTTGGGCGCGGGCCGCGGCGCGGCGGCCGATGGCCGCGGCGACACGACGATCGCGTCCTCGACGTTGCCGCCGGGCAGCGACACGCGGGGCCCGTGGAAGGCCGGCAGGAGCGCCTCGCCGGCGCTGGACCGGTCCACGCGCTTGTCGTCGGGGAGCGCCTTGGGCGGGTCCGCGCCCGCGAGCGCGGTCTCGCCCTTGACGAAGATGCCCCCGTGGCCCTTGCGCGCGCGGTTCGCCAGCTTCGCGCGCTCCGCGGCGGACTCGTCGTCCGTGAGCACGTGGAGCGGGAAGGAGCCCTCGTCGTTCTCCGTCTCGTCCTCGCTCGAGGCGTCGCCTTTAGGCCCGTCGCCGAGGCCCTTGAGCTTGCCGCGCGGCGGCGACTTCGGCGGCGACCGCGGCGCGGGCTCGCGCGCGGGGCCCGGCGCCTCGACCATGGCCTTGCGCGACCCCCAGGACCGCGAGTCGTCCGTCGTCGAGCCGCCCGTGGGGATGGTCACGGCGGGCCGCGGCCGCTCGCCGCCGTTCCGCGTCTTCGGCCGTTCGAGGGGCGCGTCGAGGTACGGGATGGCGACGACCTCCGGCGGCGTCGCGGGCCGCGCGCCGTGGCTCGCCGACGAGTAGCTCAGATCGTCGCTGAGGACCCAGGACGCGTTGTCGGGCCGCGGCTCGCCGCCGCCGAGGCTCTCGAAGCCGCCGCCGGATTCGCGCGTGTGCCGCGCGTCGCGGCCTGGGCAGCAAAAGGGTGATTCAACGTCGCTTCAACGTGAGTGTTCCGCGCGCGCGCGTTCCGGAGAAAGCATCCATGCTTCGAGACCGCTCCGAGGGATGATCGCTCGTCCAAAAATCAGCCGAAACGAGTGGAAAGCGGCCGAGATAGGAGGCTTTGAAGTTGGGAATTTCGCTCTCTTTTGCTGCCCTGGTCGCGGCCCGCGTCGCGCGGGCCGTCCGCCGCCGGCGGCGACCGCGCGCGCTTCGCGCGCGCCGCCGCCCCGTGCTCCTCGCCCCAGGGCTCCGGCGGCGACTCGGAGCGGTCCGCGCGCTCCGCGGACGGCGCGCGGTCGCCCCGGCGGCCGCGGGATCCCGGCCGCGACGCGCGGTCCCGCGACGACGAGTTCCGGTCGCCCTTGCGCTTGCGGCCCCGCGTGCCGTCCTGGATCGACACCTTCTTCTTCGCCTTGACGCGCTTTCTAGCGCGGTTCGCCATCTTCTTCGCCTTGGCCTTGAGCAGGACGAGCGCCGCGAGCCCGAGCATCGGCGCCGAGTCGCCGCGGGACAACAGGCTCACCTCGCCGTCGCTCTCGGACGTCGCGATGCCCGGGCTCCGCGACCGCGGCCGCGGGCCGCCGCCGCGCGGCGCGCCGCCCTCGCCGGCGAAGTCGCCGAGATCGTCCAAACCCGCGAGCGTGCCGTCCGTCCGCGGGTCCAACGCGTCCGCGACCTCCGTGTCGATCATGCCTAAACCCTCGAGCCGCCGCGACACCGTGCCGCCCTGGGGGCTCCGGCTGAACGTGAGCGCGTGCGCGAGCATGTGGGCCCGCTCCGTGACGCTCGACGCGTGGGCCGACGCGCGCCGCTCCGCGGACGCCGCGTCCCACGCGTCCGACAAAATGTTCGTGCCTGGGCGGGAAAAGAGAGATTCAACGTCGTTTCAACGTAAGTGTTCCGCGCGCGCGTTCCAAAAAAAAACATCCACGCTTCGAGACCGTTCCGAGAGTTGATCGCTCGTCCAAGAATCAGCAAAAACGAGTGGAAAACGGCCGAGATAGGAGCCTTTGAAGTTGGGAATTTCGCACTCTTTTCCTGCACTGGTTCGTGCTCTCGTCGAGGTCCTGCGCGCCCGCGGCGTCGTAGTTGCCGCGCGGCGTGAATGCGCGTCGTCGCTCCTCCTCCAACGCGCGCCGCGCGGCCTCGTCGCGGAGCCACTGCGACTCCGTGGACCCCTCCTGCGTGACCTCGGCCGCGGACGCGTCGTCGCCGCCGGCCACGCCGGCGCTCGCGCGGCGGCCGCCCCGGCCGGAGGCGGACGTGCGCCGGAGCGCGTTCTTCAGCGACTCCCGCCGCCCGCCGCCCTTCGAGTCCAAGGTCGCCTCGTCGTCGACGAGGTTCTCGTAGTCGAGGCCCCCGGATCCCGTCGAGTCGAAACTCGGCGCGATGGGCCGTCTCCCGCGGTCCTCGCCACCGGCGGCGGCGGCGTCGGCGCGGCGCGGGTTCTTCGCGTCCCGCTCGCGGCTCGCGTTGCGGCTGCTCGTGCGCTCGATGTTGAGCATGGCCAGCACGTTGTCGTCGAGGCCGTCGCCGTCGGACTTGCCCGACGCGCCGCTCCGCGCGCTCCGCGCGCTCGACGGCCGCGACCCGCGGCTGCCCCGGCTCCGCGACCCGCTCCGAGGCCGCCGCGCCGACGGCGGCGTCCGCGCCGGCGAGTCGGCCATGGCGACGCCGGAACAGGCGCTCTCAGAGGCACAACATCGCAGAGTCGAAACCGCGCTAGATTTTTTGAAGTTTCAGGTGGCGCCTTCAACAACTTGGTGCCGCGAATTGCCGCGCTCTGAAGATGGCTGCCCAACGCGAGCCATCCTGGGCGTGTCCATGACGGCGGCCTCCGCCTTCGGACGCTGCCACTCGTCTGATTGCCGCGGAGGAGGGCGCCGTTGCTTCTAGTCTAGCTGCCACTCGTCTGATTGCCGCGGAGGAGGGCGCCGTTGCTTCTAGTCTAGCGCGGCCGACGCGATGGCCGGGCTCTTCGGTCTCCAACAGGGGCTGCACCGCGCGTACCGCGTCCGTCCCGACGACGAGGACGACGAGGCGCCGCCCGTCGCCGTCGACGACTGGACCGCGAAGGACGTGGCGGCGTTCCTCCGGAGCCACGGGTTCGGCGCCGTCGCGGAGGCGGCGCTCCGGCGCGAGGTCGACGGGTGCACGCTACGCGAGCTCGGCGAGGCGGGCTGGGAAGAGCTCGGCGTCGCGTCGGGCGTCGACCGCGCGCGGCTCCGGGCGCTCGCGAAGCGCGCGGCGGGCGGCGGCGCGCGGCCCGCGCGCGCGCCCGCGCGGCCGCCCGCGGGGCCCGCGCGCGCCGGCGGCGCCGCGACACCGAAACCCGCGCCGGGGCCCGCGCCGGGCGCCGCGAACGAGCGCGACCTCATGGCCCTCGTCGCGCGGCGGACGCCCGTCGTCGGCGCGGAGCACACGCGGGCCTGGACCCTGTCGATGATCCACGCGAAAGCGCACGACGGCGCGGCGCTCAAGGACCACTACCTCCGCTACCTCTCCATGTACAACGTCACGGATTTGTTCATTCTGTCCATCGCCGTGACGGTCATCTTCACGAACGACCTCAACGTGTCCCACGGGAGCCCCCTCGCCATGGCCGTCTTCGCGACCTCCGCGGCGTCCGCGGCGTGCACGATGGTCGGCCTCTTCACGACCGTCATCTTCTTCAACGTCTGCTCCGCGGTGTCCGGGGCGAACTTCGTCCTCTTCGCCAAGACGCCCGCGGCCCTGGATTTGTACGAGATCATCAACGACCTCTCGACGTTCCCGTTGGTCGGCATCTTCGCGAGCCTCGTGTGCCAGCTCGCGCCTCTCTCGCTCCGCGTCGACGAGGGCGGCGGCTGGCGCGCGTTTCGCTTCGTCGTCGTCGCGGCGCTCCCGGGTGCCTACCTTTTCTGCTGCATCGCCCCCTACGGGCGCCCGTTGCTCGTCTGCCGCTTCTACGGCGCCCGGGCCCGGAAGCTCGGCCGCGTCGTCTTCTCGCGCGCGAGCGTCCTCGACCGCATCGCCGTCGCGACGCACTACGCGCTCTACGGCGGGCTCTTCTCCGACGTCGAACGCCTCCCGCCGGGCGAGACCCGGGCCTGGCTCGCGTCGTGCGGCGAGCGCGACGCGGAGGCGTTCCTCGCGCCCGTCGCCGCGGCCGCGCTCGCGTCGCCGTCGTGGGAGGCGGACGTCGCGCGCGCCTACGGGGACCAGGTCGTCGACGAGCACCTCGGCGACGGCGCCGACGGCGACGACGGCGGCGCCGCGTCGCTCTTCTCCGCGCTCGCGGGCTCCGCGAAGCTCGTCAGCCTGCTCCGGCGCGAGAGCCAACGCGAAAGCGAGCGCGAGGCCGCGCAGGAGGCCGCGCGGGAGGCCGCGCGGGAGCCCCCCGGCCTCGCCCCGCCGCCGCCCCTGCGAGACTAAGTTTCTACTTACGCGACGTAGGCCGCGAGGGGCGACGCGCGGCCCTCGTCGCGCTTCGGCGGGTCGAAGGCCGTGTGGCTCTCGACGCCGCGCCTCAACGCGAGTTCCGTCGGAAACGCGAGGCGCTCCACGGCGCCCGGCGCCGGCGCCGCGAAGAGGAGCTCCTGGAGCCAGGCGAGGTAGGCCCGGCGCCGCGCCGCGAGGTAGGCGAAGTCGCCCACGGAGCGCCGCGACCGCCGGCGGCGCTCGCCGTCGAGCCACGCGCACCGCGCGCGCGCGTAGGCCGCGCCCGCCGCCGTGGCGTCGTGGTGCGCCGCGAGGTCCGTGTGGCGCACCCAGCGCACGTGGCAGTCGCCGCCGCGCGACACGAGGAGCTGGTACTCCGCGTGCTGGCCGGAGCCGACGCCGCCGCCGTCGACGACGCGCACGGCCGCGACGGAGCAGCCGACGACGACGCCGCCGGCGAACTCGCGGCTGAAGACCGGCGGGCAGGAGCCCGGCGTCAGCGTCACGGCGACGCGCGACGCGGCGCCGGCGCCCCGCTCGTCGCCCGCCTGGAGGCACGCCCACCGCGCCGGCGCGGCCGCCGGCGGCCGCCGCGCGACGTGCCACCGCTGGAAGAGCGCCGGCGCGCCGGGCCGCTCGCCGGCGACGGGCAGGTCGAAGACCTCGGCGCTCGGCGACCGCTCGAGCGTCGCCTTGACGCCGTCGATGACGAGCGCGTTGAGCAGGCTCAGGCCGTTCGGCGCGAGCGACGCGACGTCGGTGCTGCTCGAGTTGCGCGACAGGTCCGCCGTCGACGCGTCGTGCGACAGGTAGCTCCGCGCGTCGTCGCCGTCGCTGTCCGACGTGTCCGTGAAGAAGCCGTAGTCGTCGCCGTCGGCGACGCGCACCTGGTCCTCGTCGTCGGCGCGGGAGTCGGTGGTGGACGCCATGGCGTCGGTGGCGTGCGGGAGCGGCGGGCGCGCGACGGCGGCGGGCGCTGCGCTCGTTGCAACGCTGCCGCGGTCCGCAGCGGCCGCGCGACGCGAGAATATCCGCGCTGGGCGACGTCGACGGGCTACGGAGCTCTGATGTGCGATCCAGTGGGGATGATGTGGCTGCCCCGACGACCGTTAAAAAGATGTCGACGTCCGTTCATATGCAGTTGTCGACCTCAAGATCCAAAAGTGCCGCGACGTTTGGGGCGCTCGTGGGCTGCTGCCCGCGCCGATGGCGGGGCCCAAACGCACCTAGGGCTGCTCGTGGGCTGCCCGCGCCAATATGGCGGGGTCCGCCCGCACCTACAGCTCGCTCTTGCAGCAGCAGAACGCCTTCAAGACGCCGCAGGCGCGCCTCGCGACGCCGCGGCGGCACCTGCCGACGCCGGAGCCGCAGCCGCGGAAGCCGCCGACGGCCGGGCGGGGCGCGAGCCGCGCCGGTGCGGCCCGGGCGGGCGCGGCGCGGCCGCCGAGCCCCGACCGGGCCTTCCTCGCCGAGGCGCGGAAGCGCGCGAGCGCCGACGCCCGCGGCGAGCTCGCGCGCCTCGAGGCCGAGGGCGCGGCCGTCGCCGCCGCGGGCGCCGCGGCCAACGACGCGGCGTCGCCGCGGGAGCCGCCCGCGGCGCCGCCGCTGCTCCAGCTCAAGCGCGGCGAGATGGCCGCGCGGCGGCTCTGCGAGGAGCTCGCCGAGGGCCTCGGCGAGCCCGCGCGGGCGGCCGCCGGCGCGTCGCTCGCGTCCCTGCACGGCGAGGCGTCGTCGCTCGGCCGGCGCCTCGCCGAAGGCGCCGCGGCGGCGGACGCGCGCGCGGCGGCGTCGGCGCGCCGCA